AGAAGTGCCAATACAAAATCGATATTAAATTAGTTCAAAAAATTAGGTTCAAAGTTTTTGATTGCTAGACAAATTTGCTTATAATTACTAAATAGTATAAAAATAAATTTTAATTATACTTAATACTACATACCGTATAATTTAAACTTAAAAACTATACATATTGTATATCTACTATACATAATGTATATATACCACACTATACCATACTTATCTGATAAGTTATACTATACTGGTTTACTATATACTCAGTACAATCTATTAATCCTGTCCTATTTGAAAGAATTAAGTACAAAATTATAAAGAACTTCTTGTTGTATTTAAGACTTCTATGTAATTTTAATACGTAGTTAAAAGGTTAGTTTCTTGTTTAATTTTGGTTTAATGCAATGTCACGCATACTAGTATTAGATATATTTTTCTTGTATATAAACATTTAATATCCACATATATAATTATAAATTTATCAGTACAGTAAAAAAATGAATCCAACACACATAAAGCATATAGAAATAATTTATTATTTTTTTTGTATGAAATCAACATGCATGTGCTTATACATTTATTTACATACGTACGTACATAACAGTATGTGTAAATGAAAATTTCCTTTCTTGTATATTAGTTATGCAAGATGAAATACATTGCAACTAAATTATGTTTCTAGCTAATAGGCCTATTTGAAATCGAATATTTTGATGGCCTTTGTGTATTTCTTGGACCAGTCATTGAGGAAGCACAGATGAAGATCGTTCAGCACAGGCATTTTGTATGGCTGTCTTCAATGATCCTTCATATCCACTAATTGTCCAATCTGGTGTCTGGAATGGTTTTGGCCGTTCTTTTTCGTAAAAACTACTTTGAACTCAGACTCGTTTCTTTGAAAGCTTAGATGATTTAGTGAAAATTTTATCAATGTAATTACATAAAAATGATCATAGCTACAAAATAAAATTTAAAAAAATTAAGATGCGTAATATAAGAAAATATATAATTTTTATTATCAATCTTACAGTATCAGAGCGCCATTTCAAATCCTTTACAATAACTTTCTGTTCTCCAGTAGGATTTTCCTCATCAGTTTTTGAAGCTTCAGGTGAGTGGTATAAAGAGTTATCTTTAATTCATTTAAGTTCTTAATTCGTAAATAATTTAATTAATAGATTACTAATAGTAACTAAATACTCGATTGTATTAGCTCTATTTTTTCGTTTCTATATATACGTAATCAAAATGTAATAATTAGTAACAATTTTTAAAAAAAAAAAGCATTAAATAAAACTTACACTATTCGTTCGGCTATTTAAATGCTTCTATCTGGCATATTTATCTTGGTATTCTATTGGTCACTGTTTAATCAAATATTTCTCACGTTGGTGTTTGTGCCGAATATGGATTATATCATATAAAATATTTTCAGATACTAGAAATGTATATGAATCCAATGTTTTAATTAGCAATTCACATAAGAACAGGACAGTTTATATAATAAAAGTAGGACAAATTGATTATAAAATTTTGAAATATTGGAATCCAGTTTGTCTACAATATAAAGTATTAATAGTTAAAATTTAATATAAAATTAAATAATATAGGCATAAAAATATGGTATTTGGCTTTCTTTTTATTAAAAGTCCGGCAGAATTTTCTAAAAATAAAAGATACTTTACTAAGAGCTGAAATTTTGAATTTTAAAAAAACCTATCTTTTTACTATATAATTTTGGGAAATTGAATTCCATATTACTATTAAAACTATATAAATATTTATCCCCAACTTTTATAATTAAAATTTTCTGTTCTTACGTGAATTGCTAATTAATTATAATTGGAATTATTGTATCGGTTACGAGATTTTTTTGTGAATAGAAGGTTTGTTCTAATTTTAGTTGATTTTGAGACAGTATTTTTTCAATAATCCAAAAAACTTGACGCTAAATATAAAAAACATAGTATATTTAATATATATATACTCATATATTAATAAGACGAAAATAAATAAAAAAATATCCTACTCTTAAAGCAGCTAGAAGGTTATCTGGAAGATCAGTAAGATCTAAATATTTAAACCTAACATTCGAAGAACTTGAACCTTCTTGTGGACTAGTTCGATCTTGAATTTGGGAATAACCTTGGTTTGATCGTCTTAGTGATTTTTGACTTGATCGTTCTTGAGGTCTTGAATGATTTTGGCCTAATAAATCTTCCTTATCTATATATAAACTTATATTATCCGAATTCAATTTTTGGTTAAGAAATTCTTTAAATAGCTTTTGAATTTCTTTACCTTGCATGATTGAAGAAATTTGATCTAAAAAAAATGTATATCAATAATAATATGTAGCGAATAAATTTATAAAATTAAACTTACTTTTTTCAACTTGTCTATCTAAGTATGGTTCTTTAGAAATAGGTAACTGACTACTATAATTATGATGGTTATTATTTTTGACCGTTTACTTCTGCTATTATAACTTGATTGTTTTCTCCTCTTATAACTTCTTGATCGACTATCTCTATCTCTTCGATTATAACTTCTTAATCGACTATTTCTATTTCTTCAATCATAACTTCTTGGTCGACTATCTCTATCTCTTCGATCATAACTTTTTGATCGACTATCTCTACTCCTTCGATAATAACTTCTTGAATAGCTATCTTCATTGCCTCGATTATATCTTGACCAACTTTCTCTATTTCGGTCATAACTTCTTGATCGAGACCTCTTTCGATCATATCCAAAATAATATTTCTCGGAGTGATGCATAATTAAAGTAGCCATCTATGTAAAAGTATACTAGTATGAATATTACTTTTTATTTATTTATCTATTTGATTCAGATCTAAGTTTTTTTTTTTATGAGAATTAATCCAAAAGAACATATTAAAAAATATACTTTTATATCATAAAGTATATTGTTGTATTAATAAACTTTTATTGACTACAATTTTATATCATAATGTAAGTATATAGACTCATGAAAAATTTTGACAATCATGATGATAAAATATATCTAATGATATTTCTTGATTAAGGAGAACAGGTAGAGCGAAATGAAAGCTCTAAAGCTCAGCTTCTAGTATTCTACAGTCGCTAGTAACTATTCTACCGATTTTGAATTTCCTACCCAGCTTTTTTGAGCAAACTTATTAGCTACTATTACCCTAATTTTACATAAAGTTAATTAAAGTACCTATGCTATGTGCATTGAGCCCGATCACTGTAATAACATATACATAAAGTAAATAAAGTAATCACATGATATAACAAGCAACTTAGAATAAAGCATGTGAATTAATAACCTAAGAAACTGGCTTTTACTAGTACAGCTTGTTCAAAATTTAACTACAGATAGCTAAAAACATACACCAACTAGCCTGGTATTACAATAACATATATAGTATAGTTGGTTAAAGGTGTATAGTATATAGTATACTACAATAAGTATAATACTAA